GCTCAGTTTCCACAACCACGAAGCAGGACAGAAGATGGATGCAGGGATGGCAGTGCGGATGTCACAACTGTTGCTGCTGCTATTCATGGCACAACCTGCTCTCCCATGTCTGTCTGTCCATCCGTCCAAAGCCTCTTGAAAAGATCTGCATGAATGAGCTGACCCAGCTTTGTTTCTGCTGCCCTGCTTTGCCCTTTACCCTTTGGCCTTTGCCCAGCAGTGTGGTTGAGGAGGCAGGGTTTGGCCACAGATCACTGCACAGCTGGGCAGATGATGATCCCACAGCAGCACAATGAGACTGTGGTGCAGCTCCTTCCTCTACACCACTGCAGGATTTATCTCCTGATTGCCTTCTCTTCTCCCATCTTTCCATTCCTGCCCAATGTGTGGCACAGAGCTGTGTAGGTATGTGGTTGGTGGCTGTATCTGCTGACATTGGGACCACAGGGAGATGTGGTCACAGGGGTGTGGGGGGGGGTTCTGGTGTGGATGGAGCTGTGCTGGGTAAGGTGCAAAAATCTGACAGTGAGAGCATGACAACAGGAGCTATTTGTTCCATCAATGATTTACCAGATGTGTACACTGTACTAAAGGCTTGTAAACATGCTTTAATGGCCAGCTGTAAATCCAGACGGTAGCAGTGCCAACTCCAACTCCATTGGACATGTCTCAGAACAGCAGCATAAGGGCCCTGAATCACTTTGTTATAGGCTCTGTCAGCTCTGCAATTGTGCATGTAAATCAAAGAGCCAATGTCCTTAGGTCAAAATTATTTGGATGTCAGGAGAGGTTTTATGACCACAGCTTTTCCCTTTCTGGGTTCCCTGCAGTTTCATGTCTTCCACGAATCACATCTCCAGAACATCAGGTTTCTGTCTGAGTGCCCCGAGTGCAGGGCTGTGTTTTCCCTGACTGGGTTGGAAATCTCCTTTGTTAATCACTGAAGCAAAGCATCATTAGTGAGAAGTGCAGAATGTACACAAAGAAGAACTTGCCAAATTACTAATAAGCAGAAACTCCATCCATCTTAATGAGATGGGGTTAAGAAAATAGCAACCTAGAATATACACAATGGAGCCTTTCCATGCTGTTTGTTTATCCACGTTAGAAAGTAGTTCAGAGCTCCATCTCTCGTAGTTCAGCTTAGAGAAGCTGAAGCACGGTTTCCAAACCACAGGCTGCTGGTGCTCTTGCAAATCATCAAGCATGAGAAAGATAAATAAATAAACGGACAGACAGCTCAATAAATTATTAGAGGGAAGATAAGTGTCTGGTTTCCAAACAAATGGAACAGCACCACAACAAAATGCTGGGCTCTCTTTGCTGCTGAGCAAATCAGGTTTGCTCCACACAGCAGACAAGGAGAACTGCTTGGGGGAGAGAGAATTGCACAGTGCTGCTCCATGGAGGGCTGGGAAGGAGCAGAGAGAAGCTTTTATTTGGGAAAAGCTGGGGATGAATTGCAAATCCATGGCTCCCTGCTGACCTCCTGGGCATTGGCAGCACAGAAGGGCTCGCACCACACCGAGGTGGCTGCACACCTGTGCTGCCGAGCCACGTTTTTCTTTTGTTGGGTAGAAATGACTTGAAGTGCATTTCACACGAGCTGCTCAGCTGCTGCTATTTTATTGAATGCCAGCACTCGCTGTACGTTATTGAGACAAACTTTATATATGCTACAGCAGCCCGCACCTGGTCCAGGGCAAAGCTGAGCCTCCTAGAGAAAAATGTGCTGTAATGCAGCAAGTTATTATGGGATAAATATTTATAAGCGCCTGTAAATATTTGCCATGGGTTCCCTCTTGGGATTAGGGGCAGACGGTCAGAGTTTTCAGCAGTGCCGTTGGAGTTCTTTAAGTGTTATCTCAGCTAGTAAACCCTTTGCTTGTTGTGTTTAGTTATAGAATTTAATGGTGCTAATTTCACACTAACAGGAGATGTCAGCTGGAACCGCACGTGCCTTGACCCCAGCTGGGCATGGGCTGCTGCATGCCAGGGTGCCTCCTCTGTGTGGGCAGCAGCACAGGGCTGCCCAGCTGCAGAAGGTGAGGGCACATCCGTGGCTAATGAAAGCTCTGAGCTATCTGCTGAGCAAAACCAGAAAACAAACACAGCAAAGCTAACATCCTCCATGGCAGCCTGACCCCAGCAGGGGCTATCACTTCTGGCTACCAGGGGAGGTCTGAGCTAAAGCAAATATTCCAGGAGCTGCGCTGCTGCAGGAGGTGGCACGGCAGGGTCCCTGCACAAAGATGATGGGGATGGGGGTGGGGACGCGGGGTTGAGGATGGGAATGGGGATGGAGATGGGGATGGAACAGTTGCTGCCAGCCTTGTCTCGCTGTTGTGTCACCGCTGCCCCATTGGGGTTGGGATGGGACAGGCACAGTGGTGGGAAACTGGGGAAGAAATGCCAGGGCAGGCGAGGCCACGACTCCTCCATGCCCTCAAATGCAGCAGTGGAACAATGGGCCCTGGGCAATAGTGCTCATTGGATTGTTGCATGGGACTCTATTTGGGGACTCCACTTTGCTGCTCATGCACGAAAGGCAGTCATTTGGCAAAAATCAGCTCAGTTAGCAGCCATTGTTCGTAAAGAGCCTGGGGCTGAATGGGCTCAGGGCTAATATATTCTATTATCCCATGCCTGCCTGTTCCCGGACAACATGGAGGGAAAGGCACATTCCAGTCCCAGCAGCCAAGCACTGTGGGCAGAGCAGCGGGGCCAGAAGGGATGGGGTGCAGTGGGCACAGCTCAGGGGCTGCAGTTTGCCACAGTGTGCTGGCCGTGTTGAGCCTTCAACACTGCATGCTCACAGCAGGGGGATGGGAGCACCCAAGCACTCCTGCAAGGTCCCACAGCCTGCAGGACAAACAACAGAGACTGAAATAAGCATGGTTAATTGAGCTGGGCTTGTCACAGGGCAGGGAGGACTCAGGATAACCAAAAGGGTGCATGTTGCAAGGCATCTTGTTATTCAGTAAGGTTATGCCAGCCCCTGTGGGAGAGGCAACAATAAATGGCTGTAAAGTAAAGTTAAATAATGACATTGCAGAAACTTAGGAAGCAGCAGAGGGCTACATAATTGTGAATGGAAGTGGCTGCACAGGCATTTAGAAAAGTTAATGCCCAGTTTGGAAAGGGTTTATTGAAAGAGCACTGCTATATATACTGCTTATACCCTGTGTTATGCAATGTAGTGGTCTAGACCAGAGCTGCTAGATTTTTTTCTTTTTTTTCGTGGCAGTTCTATTTCAGCCAACAGTTCACTCATGAATACCCATGCAGGTGCAGCTGCCATGAATACAGCTACCAAATACAGAAGGGTGCCAGCAGAGCTGTTTGTAGGGCTGAGGATGGAGTTGTCCGTGGGGTCTGTGGGATGCTTCAGAACCAAAGCAACAGACCTGCAGCCTTCTGCTGGGATGGGGAAGGCTGAGCTGGGGTGGGCAGACCTGGGAGATGCAGTGCTGTGCCTCAGGATGCAGCCAGCCCAGGGAGCAGCGTGGATGCTCTGGGTAGGTGATGCAGTGCATCTCTGGAATGGTTTTTGTTTCTCTCTCTGTTGAGGTGGGTATAAGCAGCTCTGATGGAGAGCTCTAAGACTTTCTGGTGCTGTTGCAGTTAACAATGGAGCGTTGCTTGCAAAATGTGGTTCTGAGCACCCAGAAGAGCAGGGATCTGTGTTCAGGACCAGACAGTTGTGCCTGCAGGCACAGTACTTGGCTGTGAATTCTTGAGAGAAATCCAGCCAAACAGCCTTAAGCAGATCCATGTCCTGTTTTGTGCTACACTGCAAGACACTTCTTGGACTTTGCAATATGTTCTATGTTCTGTGAGACGCTTCTAAACTGATGTTGGTAAAAGCAAATTCTAGGATGTCAGGATTTCCCCAGGGATGAAAAGCCCATTTTGCAGCTGTTTCTTCGTGCAAACAGCAATCAGGGTTCTACTGCTATTCCCTGAGCCTGAGCAGCAGGGAAGGGCCTGCTCCATCCCACTGCTTTTCATTCAGTAACTGGCACCTTACGGCGAAGACTTCTCTTGTTTACTACTGAATTCTCCACTTCATTAGCAGTGCTAACAGGCTGCTCTCTTCTACTGGGCCTCAAGTGGCTCTTTCACGCTTGCAGGCTGCAGAACCTCTTCCATTTACCTCTCAATGAGGTGTAGTTCCTGCTTTTAATATCACAAGCTGTTTCAGCAGAAGGCAGCAGCACTAACTGAGCTTAGTGTAGGGCCAGGGGAAGGGGCTCAGGGGAGCACAGGGACTTTCTGATGGCCCAACTCCTGCACACAGGGTGGTTGAGCTGCAAGCCCAGAACGGAGGGGCCCAGCTGTGCCCACGTGTGGTGGTGGGGCAGCATTGGGTGCTGCTGCTGCACGGTTCCAGGACTGTGGGCATGCTTCCAAGCGTAATTCCTCTTTAAGAAACAGACCTACTCTTTCTCCTGCTTTTTTTTTTTTTTTTTTTTTTTTTTTTTTCCTTTTTTTTTTTTCCCCCTGCAAATACCATAGTTTGGGTTGGAATTTGTCCACAGGGAAATGAGATCTGCACGGTCCACTCCAGGTTCTCAGAAACATTCACAACCTCGCAAAAGCTGCTTAGGCTTTACAGAGCCGCTTCAGCTCCGTGCCACGACAGCCCCCGGTACCCCCCAGCTCTCCCGGGGAGGAAGCAGCAGGACCTACGGCGGCGCTCACGTGTTTCCTAAGCCTAAAAGAGCCTCCCCGTGCTTTCGCCCATCCCGAACATCTCTCCGCGTTGCCGCAGGTGCCTCGCCCTCCCGCTCGCTCCGGGGCACGGAGCTCCTCCGCCGGACCGCGGCGCCGTCGGGGCTCGCCTAGGGCGGTGCGGAGGCGGCCGGGCCGGTGCGGGATTGGCTCCCGGTGCCGCTGATTGACATCGGAGGACGAGAGCGCGGCGGGCGGTACCGCCGTGATTGGCTGCCGGGGGCTCACAAACCCGCGGCGCGGGGCGGTGGGGCCAGAGTGGGGCCGGGGTTGGGGAGGGAGCGGGCGGCTTTGCGAGGGGGCAGCGGCGGTGGCAGCAACGGGCATCTGGCGGGAGGGGCCGCCGAACGTCGGGTGGGAATCCCGGGAAGGGGGTCTCTGGGAACGGCGCGGGGGGCTCCGGGTGAAGCTGCGGGGAGTGGCGGTGCCGCGGGCGGTGCCGTCGGGGCGGCCGTCGGCGCGGCCATGGGCGGAGTGCGGGGCGAGCTGCGGGCGCTGCTGTCGCTGGCCGCGGGGCTGCTGGCGTGCGGCGGGGCCAGCGAGTACGACTACGTGAGCTACCAGTCCGATCTGGGCCCTTACCCCGGGGGTCGCTTCTACACCAAACCCCATCAATGCGTGGCCATCCCCGCCGACCTGAGGCTGTGTCACAGCGTGGGCTATGATAAGATGGTGTTGCCCAACCTGCTGGACCACGAGACCATGGCCGAGGTGAAGCACCAGGCGAGCAGCTGGGTGCCGCTGCTCAACAAGAACTGCCATATGGGCACCCAGGTCTTCCTCTGCTCCCTCTTTGCCCCCGTCTGCCTGGACCGGCCGGTTTACCCGTGCCGTTGGCTCTGCGAGGCTGTGCGTGATTCCTGTGAGCCCGTCATGCAGTTCTTTGGCTTCTTCTGGCCGGAGATGCTCAAATGTGACCAGTTCCCACAGGATGATGTCTGCATTGCCATGACAGCTCCCAACGCCACCGAAGTCTCCAGGCCTAAAGGTAAGGCATGGTCAGAGCTGGGGGGAGGGGGAACAGATGTCGGCTCAGGAAAGGTTGTATCATTGTCCCTAAGCAGGAAGGATGCGCTGCCTGCTCCTTGCCGCTCTTGGAGCAGTAATCGTGGGGAAGGTGGAGCCTGGGGAGTTGTAGTGCTGTAATCTGTGCATCCCTGTCCTCCTGAGAAGTGTTTTCTCTTCCATGCTTGGCTCCCGTGGGACCACCCTTCAGCTGCAGTGGGATGTGTGCTTACAGGAACGTCTGGCTGGAGTGGATGGTGGCAGTGGTCCCAGCAGAGCACCACGCTTCCCAGGCAGCACTGAGGCTCAGTTGCCTGCCTGAGTGAAGGCATACAGTAGAAGAGTGCATGTGGTAAAGCAGCCCTGCCTTCCCAGTGGGGGCTGGATGGTGGAGAGAGGCTGCAGGCAGGGTGTCCATCAAGAAGCAGTTGGGGAAAGCGGATGTGTTTCTTATTTTCTCGGTTGTGCTCTGTGAGTCTGCCTGTGTCAGACCAGCTTGCCCACAGCGAGCTGCAACGAGTCTGGTTTGTTGCTGGAAACTTTTAAAATAATCAAACTGGTGTAAGGTGAGCATTCTGTGTTAAAGCACTTTGTAAAGCTACTGAGAGGTGTTTGCAGAGGGAGAAGGCAGGGGCTGTAGGAGAGCACAGCACTTACTGAAGCAATTGCTGGAAGGAGCTCTTTGTTTTCAGGGGAGGCTCTAAGATCTCTGCTCTGGGTGAACCCAGACCCTTGGTCCAGACTGCTGCTGTGTCTTGTGAACAGGTACAAAGGTTGCTTTTATTCCTCAGGGATTTGCAGCCAAGCAGAGCAGAACTGCAGCCTGCAGAGCTGCCCCTGCTCTGGGCTGTGTGCAGGTCAATATCTTCAGAGGCTTTAGAAGCTCCAGACCTGGGTTCACCCTTGTGAGCAAGCAGCATCTGCCAGTCTTCTCCAGTGTGGTTCAGCAGTCTTTGTGATAAACTTTCAGGCCTGTTTAGACAGGTGGGGCAGCATTGCTTTCTTTTGGTGCTGTGCAGCAGCACGATGTTCAGTACCACTCACATCACTGCAGTGACTTTCTTACAGCAAAGCTCTTTGCTGCGTGCAGCTGTGTGCAAAGTTCTGCTGGTGTGTATTCCTGGAGCCCCATGGATTTCAGGCTCTGGGGTGTTTCCTATTGATTCGAAGAAGGTCAGAGCCCAGCAGTGTCCCTCCCCCCACCCCATTCTCAGGGCATTAATAAGAACGAGTCTTTTCAGTATTTTTTCCCATTAACACCTTAAAATTGGAATTTGTTTCTGCCTCTCAAAGAGCTGACCTGCTGAATTCCTTTCTCCTTAAGCATTAGGCAGTAAAGCCTGCAGGCCCACAGGATGCATCAGGGGAGTTGCAGATTAATATAGCATTACACATTCCTTCTCCCTGCCCCTGGAGTAAGCTAGCTCTAAAGCCAGGCATTAGAAAATGGGCAGCAGGGAGAAAAACTGGAAACAGTCCTCAGAGTGAAGCTGTCACATGCAGAACGTGGGCTCTGTCCCAGCTGTTGTAGGTTGGGAGGTGGTCAGAGCTCAGACTGTTGGGTGCTCTCAGAGTGCTGGGGGTTGGGCTGGGGTCCCTGAGCTGCCCAGGGTGCACAGCAGCAGCTCCTGCTCACATTGTGGCTGTGCTGCAGCATCCCTGGGGCCACGCACACAGCTCAAACAAAGCCTGACTTTTCACTGTTTCCCTGTTTTCAGGGAACAGTGAGTTTGATTTTACTTTTTTTGTAGGAGCTTGGAAAGCTTGTAGGTTTGGCACTGTGGTGGCTTTCTTGCTGGCTATCTGCCCTGTGTGGTGTGCACTTTGGCTATGAGATAAGCTGATGATGAGGGGTATACCCCTCTGCTCCCAGAGGATGGGCTCGGGTGGTCTGCAGCACAGCTGCTCTCCTCCTGGCAGCAGACATTGTGGGGTCCTCCCGCCAGCATCCTCTTGCCATGAGCTCATTAAATGTACAGGCAGTATGGAAAGATTCTGACTGCTCATTTAAAAGCATTTGGGCTGTCATCATGTCCCAGAAACTGCCTTCTCCTTGTGTCCCTGCCTGTAAGCTAAGTTGGTACAGTGGCTATGGTAGGGTGTTGGAAGGGGACGTCACCCAGCTCAGGCACACCAAGAATGGCATTTCTAGGGCTGCTCCTGAATGCAGTGAGGATTACCTTGCTGCTGGCAAACCGGGACAATTGGAAGGCCAATTGCTCTACATGTGTGATTAATAAAGTCGTGGCTTATGACCCCAGGAATGAATGAGGGTTTGGCACAAAGCAGGAGGGGAGAAGAACTGCACAGGAATGAGTGTCCAGCTGGGAGTCCCACGGGGCGCCTGCGGACGAGGCAGCAGCACTGTGGTCTGCACGAGGTGTGCGGCTTTGCACCCTCCTGCTGGTAGCTGCTGTGCTGCAGATCCAGGCTCCGTCTGCCTGCGGAGGCTGGCAGATGTTGCACTGCCAGAGAACAGCTCTTGTGTGTGGGAAAGAGCCCTTGTGCTGGACCGAGAGCATCTCCCTGCTTCAATAAATTCATCCGTCAGTAGCACAAACCTCTGTCTGTGCTGCTGGGTGGTCTCTGCTGGCTGGAGGCAGGAACCTGGAAGCAGTTCATTATCCTCTGGATGTGAGGAGCTCTCCTGATGAGCTGAGTTGTGCCTGTCCTGAACCCAGTCTGGCTCTGGGGTGGTTATCCTTGTTGTGTGAGCCTTCCCTGCCTTACCTTTGCATGTGCTGTGTGCCAGCTTAGTGCACCATAGGACACAGCATCATCAGGCTGCTCACCACGCCGTGTGGCAAGCAGCTCCTCCAGCCAGGAGCTTGGCCCTGAAAACTCCATTCTATATCAACCCTGTCCTCTGCAAGCAGCTGCCTGCACCTGGAGGAGCAGGGCTGGCAGGAGGCTATGCTGGAACTGGGACCAGGCAGGTGATGTCCTCTGAGCTGGCTGCTGGCACCCCAGGGCAAGGCTTCAGGCTGCTTTTGGTCCTTCTGGGTTTGTGGTGCTCTTGGGCTCGCTCCTCATCACCTCTTGTCTCCTCTCACCAGGAACCACTGTGTGTCCACCGTGCGACAACGAGATGAAGTCGGAGGCCATTGTTGAGCACCTGTGTGCCAGCGAGTTTGGTAAGGAAGCATTCCTGCTGCTGTTCCTCGCTGGTGTGGCTCTGCATTGTGGAGAGAAGAAGGCACTTGGTGCCCTGGCTGCAGAGCATCCTGCTTCCCTTCCATCTGTGCCTGGTGCAGCAGGTTGGGTACACGATGCTGGAAGGGCATCTCCTTTTGCAGGGAGCAGGGCACTACAGGATGCTACAGCTGCTCAGCAACCACTGTGCTACCGAGGCAAGCTGGGGGCTGCCTTGTTGTGGGCTTGGAGGTGTTCTTGGGGTGCTGGGAGGCTTTCTGGGATGTGCAGGGCAGTGCAGCTCTGCATAGGCTGGATCCCAGACCACTGGATTCCCACCAGCCTTGTGGTTGACATGGGTCAGCAGTACAGTCCCATTGCCTGGGGGCAAGCATGCCTCTAGATGTCAGTGTTGATGCGTGGTGGCAGCAGTGTGTGGGATGTGTCTGGTGGGGAGTGGGGTCTTGGAGCTGTGTGGCCCCATGGCAGCTCAGCAGGGAGGTGCCTCTGGGTGTCTGATGCCCAGGCTGCTGGCACCCCCGGGTCTCTTCTTAGCAGAGTTCTGATCTTCTTGCCAAGTCTGGGTGTTGAACCCAAAAACCATCCCTTGCCTTTTTAGGGTTGAGAAGCGAACGGAAAAAATGCAGTGCTGTTGGAAAGCTGTGTCCTAAATCCATTATGGCTCATAAGTGAGTCAGACAATCATAGGGAAACACAGCTTCATTAAAAACAAAACAAAAAAAACCCACGAAGAAAGCTGTTGCAGGGAAAAATATGAGCTTTTTCAGATCAAGCCCAGCATTAACTGGTTTTGACATCCTTGCTGGTGTCTGTAACTTTCCTAAAAAGCTATTAAAGGAGCATTGAGCAAGGTGTGCATTCCGTGGGGATTAGCACTTGAATGTGCGCTGTGCAAACCCCAACCTGCTCTGTGCTGATGCTTTACTCCTTCTGCTGGAAATGAATTCCCCACGCCTGCAGGTTTGGTATGCCAAAAGGCCTAAGTTCAGTACAGAACTTTTTCTAATGGGGGAAAGCATCCACAGGAACACCCATGTAATAGTTCCTCAGGAATGTGCGTGCTCCCGGAGTGCAAGAATTCAGTGTGGCTGGGAGCTGCCTGCCCTGAGCTCCTCATCTGTGGCCCAGGAGTTTTCTTGTGAAAACGAGACGACTTCTTCCTGGAAAGGAGTCCAGAGCAGCTGAGCAGGACATAACTGGTGTCTGCTGTGTGTGAGGCATCATTCTTTCCTCACAATGGAAAGCTGGTTGCATTTTGGGTTGCCTTTTGTTCTCCTCTTCCTCTCTTGTCACCAGAATAAATAGCAGTGGAAAAGTTCATTTTGCATGGATTCTCAGTGGTGTAGGTTTCAAGCAGCTGCCTTTGGCACTTCTTCCTCCTGCCACTGTGTTCTTCCTCCTCCATTGAGGAGAGGTCCCTCCAGCCACTCTGGTGTGCTGGGAGCTGGGGTGAAGGATGTGGGCAGGGTGCTGTGGGGATGCCTGGCAGTGGGGAGCAGCTGGTGAGCGATGGGTTGGCCCCAGGAAGTGCTCTCCCAGCACAGGATCCTTAGATCTCTGTTTAGTCTTCAGGGGTTACTGTCGTGGGGGTGATTTCTCATGGAGAGCTGTTTATCTGGCACTAACATAAACTCCCGTCCCCTCCAACTGAGGTTTCTCATGCACATCCAGCAAGGTAAACACCGGCAGCTGACAGGTTACAGAACCTCATCACAGCCAGACAAGTACTGTAAATGTTTAAACTACGTGCAGCGTGAGGGGCAGCTGGTGGTGGGCTCTGCTCACTGCTCTTCCCTGCTTCACGTGGTGCCCTTGTTGTAGTAGGGCTCCTGCACATCCCTGGGCTGTGCTCTTGGTGCTCTGCCTGCTCCTTGCAGCTTGGGGTTGGGCAGCCCTGGCATGCTGCTGCTCTCTGTTTCTCTTGGTGGGTGTATTTATCATTTCTGCCCTTTCCCTGAGGTCTGAGGGATCCTGCCCAGCGGGCTCTTGCTGAACCAGGACTGCAGTACAATCAATACATGCTGTTTATTTTTCCCCTTGACTGACAGCTCCTTGCCTGCACCCTTCTCCAGTTACAGCCCTAATGTGTCTTCTGGCAGGTTTCCTCCTTCTTTGCGATTCCTGAAGGAAGGAGCAATGAGGCTGCAGGAACAGCAGAGCTTTCCACTCTCTCACATTCCCTTCCCTGCCCCTGGGGGTGCTGGTGTGGGGCTCCTACATGAGGGGGAGCACTGGGATGGAGCCAGGTGGTGTGGGCTGGGGTTGCACCTGGGGTGGGGGTGATTTCAGTGATGTGTTCCTATGCCTTGTGCTGTTCCAGGGCTCGGTGCAAATTGAGCTGCTTTGGTCTCTCCTGCTCTGTAAAGCTTGCATCTCTTGCTCCCTGAGCATCCTGAATTGGGAAAGCAGATAGAAAGCAAGCTTCCCTTTAGTTTCCAGCCCTGGATTGCTTTCCTGTACAGTAATAGTATAACACAGCAGGGCTCTTGGCAAGCACAACAGCCTTTTTTGGCACGTGGGCAGACAAATACCATTATTTTCACTGCCAGTGCAGTGGCTGGGAGCACAAGGGTAGCACACAGACTGTGCTGCCTTCTTGAGGCTGTCATTGCTGTCCTGCTGCCATGTGTGTCTGCAGTGGTGACCTGAATACGACGTGTATTTATTGCTGCAAGTTCCAGCAGGGCGGAACTTCAAGGAGCAGTGATGCAGGGGATTCTTTCCCAAGCCAGAGCCCATGGCTTCTGCTGTGCTATCTGCTGCTCACACGTCTGAGAATCAAATGGGAAGGGACAGCAGACAATCACATATCTGAGCATTATTTGTCTGCGGCTCTGAAGTAAACTCCCAAATGATGGAAATATGTTAGTCATTTTTGGCCATATGTGCTTTTCTCCAAAAAGGAGACAGAGCCAAATGGCACAGAAGTGGTACTTTAATGTACAACACATTTCCATCATTTTTCCCATGCTTACTAAATTCCTGTTCATGGTCATGGCAAATGAGTGTTAATTTTCTTTTATTTGGGTTGCTATTTACTCAGGAAGGCACTGAATCCAAAGAGGAGAATTCTTCTGTTGGTTTGGGATGGGGTTGGCCCTACTCCCCAGGTCCCCACCAGCTCACACATAGCAATACTCAGTGTTCAGAATGTGTTCCACAGCTGCCTGGGGGTAGGAGAGCCTGAAAGCAAATGTTTGAGGAGCTGAATTGATCTCTTAAGAGTCTCTCTGTCATTGCTCAGCTAACATTTTGCTAGCAAATCATGCGTTGTGCTGCTGAACAAATTTCCTTCTCAATTAAAATTGTTCTGTGCTGAGAACTTTGTTTTTTTTTTTTTTTCCCTTCTCCTTGGCTTGTTTTTCAGCTCTTAAGATGACCATCAAGGAGGTGAAAAAGGAGAATGGGGACAAAGTGATCATTCCACGGAAGAGGAAGGCGCTGAAGCTGGGGCCCATCCGCAAGAAGAACCTGAAGAAGTTGGTGCTGCTCCTGAAGAATGGGGCTGATTGCCCCTGCCACCAGCTGGACAACCTTGGCCACCATTTCCTCATCATGGGCCGCCAGGTGAAGACCCAGCATCTTCTGACAGCCATCTATAAGTGGGACAAGAAGAACAAAGAGTTCAAGAAGTTCATGAAGAAGGTGAAAGCTCCGGACTGCCCAACGTTCCCATCTGTTTTCAAGTGACCCCCATGGGGGCCAAACCTCCTCCCCCTCTCCCCCCCCTTTCTTCCTCATCCTCAAAGCTCCCCCAGCCCCACCTCCTGCCCCATGCCAGCATTTCCCAGAGTGAGCACTGAGCAGAGCCCGAGGTCATGGACCACATACATCTGCAATAGCCAAAGACCCATTGCTACGAGTTCATGGAAATAGCAGCAAAGGGGTTTGAGACCACATGATTTTGGATGTGACCCTTGTGACCACCTGTATTTGTGGCTGCAGGAGCACCCGAATTCATTCCTACAGGACCAGATGCCTATTGGAAAAATATTCCATCCTGACAATACAAGTTAATAAACAAGTGAAGCAGCATCCATCGAACCCCTGATAAAACCTCCTAGTAGCTAATTGCCCTCATGGTAAATACAAAGCAACCAGTATTCCAGTCTGAGTGCCTTTGGGTTGAGCCTCAGCCCTGGGACCTCATGGTGCCCTGATTTGCTGGGTCTCATTCCCAACCATTGCATGGTCCCACACACCTGGCTGTGTCCCTCAGTGAGGCTCTGCCTGCTGGCTCGTGCCATTGCTCATTTTACCACCAAGATTTCATAGTTTCTTCAGGCCGCCAGCAAAATATTGCACTGCAGAAGGGCAAGGAGTGTTCCCTGTGGAGCATCACAGGACTGCATCATCTCCGTGCTTCCTGCAGTTGTTGTGGGACTGATTGGTGTCCAGGTTTTGATGTGTGACAACTTGGTTTTGTATGTACTGTTGTTTTTTTTTTTTCCTCTTGTCATCAAAATGTCCCATTAGTGTGAGGTTGTGTCGTTTTATGAAAGACAGTGAATACTGCACCCAAATGATTACATTTATTGACCAGGCTGAAATTCATTATTCTGTTAATTGGACGTCTTCTTTTCTGCATAGTCCCACATTGCTGCGCATTAATTACACCATCTTGCTTCTATTCATCATTCTCATCCATCATGATTGCTCTTAAGAGAATGACTGTCTTAAAACTTGAAATAATCCTGTAGCTTTGCAGTTAACTGTGCTCAGATCTGGTGAATGAATTGTTTCTCTGGCTCGGGAGCGCCGTGTGTTTCTTTCATGACTGAACCATGGACTTTATTGTAGATAAACTCCCTAAATATGCTGAGCACCCTGATGAATGCTGCTTCAGAACTAGCAGAGAGATGGATTTAGGATGTGAACTCTTTAGAAAATCCCACTAAGTGTCTTAGACCACAGCGTGTATTAGCATTGTTACTGTGATGCAAAGTTAATCATTGTAGATAATGTACTTTATCAGTGAATTAAGAAAAAAAAAAGAGCAAAACCACAAAAAAGATCCACCCTAAGCTTTAGAAGCAGCTCAGGGCTTCTGAACTGAGCTGTGTGTGATGTTTCAGACATGGTGTGTTGGGCATCTCCATATACCTGGATGGTCGTGGTACCACCCTGCTGCCAAACTGCTGTGGGATCTGCCAGCAGTTGTGTGCAGATGGAGCAGGCAGAGCCCCTGTGCATCACTGCTTCCCTTGTGCTCTCTTTGTACGTGGAGGATTTAATAATAATAAAAAAATAACAGCACTAAAAGAGTTGGATGTAACACTGTGTTGTAGACAGGATATATATTTACATTTTGTTCTAATGTAATTTTAGATCATTAATTGAGAAACTGTGTGGCAGCCCCAAATCAGAGCTGCTGCCTGTGCTCCCCTGGGTTCCCATCTCCCCCAACCTGGGGGGGTCCTTGAGATGGAGCAGCACTGGGCTGCAGTCCAGGCCCACAGTGCCGAGGCTGAGGCTGCAGAACAACATCAGCATCTGCTTCCCTGGCGTGGCTGGAAGCCTCAGACATGATGAAGATGTTCAGCACTGCAACCACAGCAGTGTGCTCATGGTAGATGATATCAGCAGTTGGTTTTGATGTTACGGCTTGCATTTCTTTTCCAATCTACTATCTGTTCTTTATGCTTTGTCTTTTATGTATCAATCGTCTCTTAACTAAAACTGCTAAATTAATCAACAACGACGTGATTCCCCCTCCCTGTTATTATAGAGACATTGTTTTCTGTCCCACATTGGTGCTGTCAGAGGTGGCTGCAGTGCAGTGCAGTGGGACGTGATGCGATGCTTGGGATGTCTGGGCTGGATGTGCTGCAGCTTTTTGGACAAGAGGAGAGAGATGCTTCTCACAACCAAACCTAAGTGGTGCATCCCTGCTGTAAGAACCCAGAAATCATCTTGCAGTGCACTCTGCAAATAGGTCTGGGGGTGTGAGAGCCACGTGGGGGTCATGCATGGCACAGAGCTGCAGTGGGCTTTGAGGACTCCACGTTCCTTATTTACTCGTGAGGCTCGAGGGGAGCAGCCCAGAATAGGTTTTGAAGGACAAATGCTCCAAATGTAATTGTGACAGAGGGCATAGAAGTGCATGAAGAGCACAGATGTTCTGTGTGTGCTCCAGCAGGCAGTACCCAGAGCTGTGTGAGGAGTCTGTGCTGTGTGGGAACCTCTCATGTGAGCACAATGCATTACAGCAGAGCGCTGCTTGCTTTTCTCATAGTATATTTTAACAAAGAAATCTGTACTTGATTGTTTTGCTTTGTTTGAAACTTGTGGTTGATATAAACACATTATGGCTTCTGTTCTCTCTCTTCTGTGATCGGAGCAAGAAAACCTCTCAATAAAACATTGGGTTTTTTTTTTTTCCTTCCCTTTCAAAGTTATTTTTATTGTTGCCTTTTCCATATCACTTGCATTACTCACTCCGACATCCAAGGGTTCAGCACACTGTCTCTATGCAGACACAGCTTATCTGCACTGCTGCCTGGCAAGGAGAGATGCAAGAGCTTAAACCACACATCCACAGTGCTGAGACAGAGAAGTGCTGTCAAAGTGCTGCTGCTAGTCAGTGCTTTATCTGTGCATTAATACCCCTGTTGCAAACCAGCTAGCTCACACCAGTGCAAACAAAGGCAATGAGCTCCTTACAGCAAACAGCATTGTTTGCAGGAATTACTTCCTAGAAAATGTTGTTGCTGTCACTGGTAGCAAGGAAAGCAGGCACACACCTGAAACCCCATTAGCCAGCCCTGGCTCCAGCTCTCAGGTTATTCCAATCAGAGCAGTCACCCATCCTTTGAGAAACAACCAGCAGGGCTGAGCATAGCCTGGAGTTGGTCTCAGGTGTAGGGGAGGTTTGATAGTGGAGAAACCAGGGAGCTCCTACCCTCCAGTGCCCCTGGCCAGGGACATCAGCAACAGCTATGAGAGCAGGTAAGAGCAGCTCAAACATGTGAGTTATGCTGTAATTGGTTCAAATACTGATTGTTACGGGTTCTGTTTATGCAGCATGCTCGTTCTAAACCAGCACTTTTATGAGTTCTGCTGTGTAATAATTCGGGGTGAGGTTTTCACATGCGTGTATGTAACTGTAAAGTAGGGTGTGTGCTCAGATCCTGCTGAGTGCTGGAGGTCCAAACAAATACCCAAGGTTCCCTAACTTTGGGTAGAGAGGTGCAGCTTTTTGCTGATCCACAGCTGATCCTGAATGCACTTTGTTTCAGGCTCTTGTGTCCAGCTCTGAGTCTGGCTTCACAATGCAGGGAGGCTGAAAAAGCTTGGGGATGGTTGAGGATTGCCCAGCAGTGACTGCATTGTGTCTATGGGCTGTGCCCCATGGAAAACTGCTTCTAGCTTGTGTGAGGGTGTAACAGCTGATCTGGCAGCACAAAGATGCTCAGCCTTGCCAGCAGCCTGCCCTGGGCTTGTCTGAATCTTGCATAAAATAAAATATCATCCTCTCGTGACTCAGTTTATCCTCCCAGTAATGTTTATCTTATTTGCTCCAGCATTCTTTCTGTTGAGTATCGTCTGTTCATTGAGTTTCTGGTCTCCAGTTCATAGTTAAGCTCTAAATAAATAACAGTTTGCTTTCATGCTATACAAAAGTCATCTTCCATCCCACAACTAATTTCTTGTCCTTGGCAATCTGTGTTCTTCTTTGACCCCTGCTGGGGAATGCAGGGCTGGAAATTGTGAGCAATTAGGGATGGTTTCTCCTGGAGAAGAGCAGATACCAGCCTGGTGTGTCTGACAAGGAGCTCTATTAATGCTCTGCAGGATGGAGAGGTGATGCACCACAGCTGCTCAGGCAGCCTGGTGACATGTCTGCAAGGGAAAAGCTGCCTGTGTTTTATCTGCAGTGCTGCTGCTGTCTGGGCACGGTGTAACAGCAATTCCCACCAAAGCCCTCCTTTGCTCTGGTGGTGTTCAGCTTTGCAGGGACACGTGCTGCAACTTCAGCACAGAACTGCCCCTCTTTGTGCTGCTGAGGGGCTGAAATCCTACAGGAGTGGCAAGGAGATGCGTGGTTGTCTCTATGTGGGGAATGGTGTTTATGCCCTAATTCTGTAAAGCAAAGGGTGCCTTGTTGCATGTGGCCACACAAAGCATAGACTGGGAGAGATGCACAGAGGAAAACAAGGAGTTTGTAACGTGCCACGACGAAGAACAGAACAGGAAGTGGGAAAGAAATACTTCCTTTCTTTTCAGACGCTTTTGTGGGGAAAAAAAAAAAAAAGATCCATCAAGGATAAAGGGATGCAAAACTCCCTGCTCTGTCTGAGTGCCCTGAGCTGCAGGGCATGCAGACGTGGGAAGCTCTGCTTCAACCTCAGTGCAGAGAAAGTCCTCCATGAGATTGAGGGAGGGAAAAATCTCTCAGAATCCACAGCAAGTGCTGTAAAAGCCTCTGTTTTGTGAGGGCTTGGACTCATTTTATTGTCATTTCTTCTCTAGTAATCCCATCCCAGTGTCTGAGCATCCTACCTGTTGGCTGAGTTGCACTCTTCTGCAAGTCTGGAGGTGACAAAGTCACGTTTCAATGCCCTTTTTAGGAGCCTGGCTGGCTCCTCTGCTCTATGCATGGGGCTGTGGCTCTGCACTATGTGGCTTCCCTGGGCAGAGCTGTGCCAGGAGCCATGGGTTGGCCTGTCAGGTTGGCTGGCTAAGCTGCAGAAGCCTTCCAGTCTCTGGAAAATGAGAACTCTGTTCCAAGACCCACTCAGAGAAAGCTGGAATCTCCTCTGGGCTGGTTGCTGGCCACAAGCTGTCCTGGTGGCAACATAAGGGCAATGGTGTGCCCAGCTCTGCAGTGCAGGGTGACGATGCCTGAAGGGTCATCAGCTCTGCTGCACAGAACTTCCAGGATCCAGGGAGCTGTGAGGGGCCAGCAAATAGTCCCACTTCTCTGCAGAAATGTGCTCAGCCTGGAAATGCTGTCAGTAACATTTTTTTTCTGATGGAGATGTGTGCCAAGTCCTCGCTCCAGCAAGGAGATGTGGGAAAGCAGGGCTGTGGCTGGATGAACCACACCTGGGTCACAGTGCTGCTGCTGCTCAGTGTGACCCCCACCAAACTCCTGAGTTATTAACGTGGATGAGAGATTAATTTGCTAGAAGGTATTTTTCTTTGCTGGGAGAGCATGCACGTGCATGGCTCTAACATGCAGTGTTGGGAACTTCATTAAACCGCACCAATGATGAACTGCAATTCCTTCAGCCAAAGCAATTTGCACCAGAGCAGCAGAGTAATTGCACCCAGGCTGGGCAATCTCCTCTGCTATTGCACAGTCAGGGTAAATCACTAATCTGGAGAGATTGCAGCTCGGAAAACAAATGGGATCCTGGGCTCCATCAGAAGAGGGGTGGCCAGCAGGGACAGGGAGGTGATTGTCCCCATCTACTCTGCTCTTGTGAGGCCCCATCTTCAGTACTGCATCCAGTCTGGAGCCCCCACTAAAAGAAAGACAGAGAGCTGTTGGAGAGGGTCCAGAGGAGCCACAAAGATGAGCAGGGGGCTGCAGCACTTCCCTATGAAGACAGGCTGAGAGAGCTGGGCTTGTTCAGCCTGGAGAAAAGAAGACTGTGGGGTGAATCATTGCAGCCTTCAGTACCTAAAGGGAGCCTACAAACAGGAGGGGAATCAACTCTTGGAAAGGGGAGATAACAGCAGGATGAGGGGAAATGGGTTTAAGTGGATGGAGGGGAGATTGAGGTTGGATGTCAGGGGGAAGTTGTTTGCTGTGAGAGTGGTGAGGTGCTGGAACAGCTGCCCAGAGAGGCTGTGGATGCCCCGTCCATCCCTGGAGGTGTTCAAGGCCAGGTTGGATGGGGCTCTGGGCAGCCTGGGCTGCTGTGAAATGTGGAGGTTGGTGGCCCTGCGTGTGGCAGGGGGTTGGAGCTCCGTGATTCTTGAGGTCCCTTCCAACCCTGGCCATTCTATGATCCTCTGAGAGGACAGAGCATGTTTGTGGCAGTTCCAGGGTAATTCAGTGTGTGGCCATACGTGAGGTGCTGATGGCTGCACTGCCCTCCTCACCTGCGGTGCCACTGCTGGGCACCCATGGGTGAGATCTCAGCATCCTCAGCCTGGGGGTGAGGGAGCAACCAGGGGTGGCTGCTGAGGTGATGCATTGAATGTTCCATGTTAAATGGTCTAAAAAAAAAAAGAAGAAGAAGAAAAAGAATACTGAGCTAAATGTTTATGAAAATCTCCCCCTGGATTAATG